CTGGGGAATTCTGGGAGTTGAAGTCCACACCTCTTAAAGGGGCCAAGTTTGGAAAAGGACTATCTTAAACTAACCTCCTAACTGTTCATTCCCCCAACTTGCAGCGAAGGCAGGCCCAACTTCACTCACCTCTTTTCTTCTTTATGTAGATGCAAAGCGCTGCGCAGAGCAAACCGATCAGGATGAGGCCAGATACCCCAACAGCAACTGGAATGACCGGGATATCTTGAGAATCTGGAGATGCTAAAGAGAAACATGGCATGGTTGTGCCGAAAGCGAAAAATCCAGCCGCGGCTTTGTTCCTTGTATAAGTCTACTGACCGCATTTGCAGAACGCGTTAAATTTGGTTAGTCGTAGCCCTGGTTAGCTGGCTTGTTGTGGAGTGGCTTACCACGGTGGCAAGGTTTTCCTTCAATGGGTCACGTAAACCCGGGCAAGGGGTAATTTCTCTAACCAGGATTGAGCAACTTGGGTTCTTCAGACAGCCACTCGCAGCCTTGAGAAGTTCAGCCGAACTTTTATCGTGCATGGTGGACTTGTGTGAAAGCTAAGAAATTCTGGGTACAAATTCATGTCAACTTGCCAAGGAGATTTAGGATTAATATTGCAAGAAACCAAACTCTTTTCAGTGGGACTTATGGGTAATGGATTAGAAAAGATTCAGGGTAACTTGGTACTGTACATGGTAACTGCAGCAAGATTATTGTACACACAACGACGGAAGAAAAATGCAATTCCCACTGGGGAGGAATGGACTGTGAAAATGTCAGAATGTGCAGAAATGGCAAAACTGACCTGCTTGGTCTGAGAACGACAAAAACTTTTTTGAAAGACTGGAAGCCTTGCAAGGACTTTTTGTTGAAAGAAGAGAAAAATAATTGATGATTTATGGATTTGAAGACTAAGAAAGATGAGGATTAAATGAAGGGACTTGTAAAATACTTCAGAGGGAGGAGGGACAATAAGAATGTAATTATGTGTTGAAAAGAAGGTCAGAAGTCATCTATATCAGTGTTCCTCAACCTTGGGAACTTTAAGATGGGTGGACTTCAACTCCCAGAACCCCCATGGCTGGCTGGGGAATTCTGGGAGTTGAAGTCTACCCATCTTAAAGTTCCCAAGGTTAAGGAACACTGATCTAGATGGTTCTTAACCTTTGGGGGGTTTCCCTGTTTTTTTCTTTTGGTTTGTTATTATTATATGAAAATTTTCAATAAATTTTTTAATAAATATAATTTTAAAAAAAGAGAAGTTTGGCCAAAGGATGGATTTGTGGCTTTTGGTATGCATGAAAATGTGTATGATGGATTTCCAATCCGGTTCCAAGTTACAGAAGTAACTCATTGTCTAGGTTTACATGACACATTGAACAAAAACCCCACCAGTATGCAATGTGAGCTAACATTGGTTTACGTTTAGGTCAAAATGGCTCTGGAAAATTTCAAGAAGTGAAAATGCCAGAAGAGAATTGGATTGTGTAATCTGGGAAGTGCAGAACAGATTGGTAAGAAAATACAGATCAGAAAAATTTGTTTTCTCCTGCCTCCATTCCTAAAATTCTGAGAATGACTTGGCAGGGAAGCGGGGGGTAGGACTCTCTGTGCTGGGGGAGATATTCTGCTTAAGGAAAATTTGGGGGGGGGGCATCTTGGATCCTTTGAGTGAAAATAAAGCACTTGAAAGTTGCGGGGATTGTGTAGGGAGAAACACATCCTTGCCTATGGTGCTCCGTTGTGTCAAAGTCAAGAAAAGTCATTGTTCCTCTCTGTTCTACATTAATCTGACTCACACCGAGAATATGGAGTCCAATTCAGGGCACTATATTTTAGGAAGGATACTGACAAACTGGAGTACAAGTATGTCCAGGGAAGAACAATGAAGATGAAGTGTTGGAAGAAAAAAATTACAAGGAACTCTTGAAGGCATGAGGTGTGTTTAGCCTGGAGAAGTCTGCAGAGAGACCTGATAGCTGACCTCAGGTATCTGAAGGGTGGTCATGTGGAAGAAAGGGCAGAATTGTTCCAAGTTGTTCCATGGAACAGGACAAAAAAACAAGGGAATCCCGTTACAAGGAGATAGACTTCACTGGGTCATCAGAAAAGATTTTGTAATACTAAGAGCTGTTCAATGATGGAAGAGACTGTCTTGGAAGAGGTGGACTCTCCTCTGCTGGAGGTATTTAAACAAAGGCTGGGTGGTTATCTGTCAAGGACTCTATAGTAGTGGATTCCTGCCCTGGACTAGATAGTTTCTAAGTTCAGTCCCAACCCTTACTGTCTATGTTTCTATAGTTCTTTCACCTTCCTGGATGAAAGATCTTTTAACCACTATGTGTATCTCTTCAAAGGTCTGTCCGCCTTGACATGGTAGACCACTGGAACCCTTCTAGGCCTTTCAGGAGTGAGAGGCATAGAGATGTATACAATGAGGAGAACCAACATCCACTTGGTGGTTTTATGTCCCTGGTGTGGCAACCATATCTAATGCTTGCACGCATGACAGTAGGCTGTTATGCAGAATCCCCCCACCCCCAGCAGGACCCCATTGTCTTGCACAGCCTTCTCTTTCCAAGTTTCCATGAACATGTAATGCCCCTGGAGAGCTACAACCATCCACTGAACATACTTGCAGAAAAGTGGAAGATGGTTGGACCACACAGCAGTGTTCCTGGAGGCCCCAAGCGAGTTGGTGTATGGAAGACCCAAATCTGGAGCCAGGCGTGGCTGCAGCACTAACACGCAAGTCCCCAGACCCAGAAGCCAAATAAGCAAACTTCTCCCACAGCTTTTTCACACTGACCTTTCACGACCACTTGAGTCCCATGTCCTTTGAACCAGTCCTTGCTGTTTTTCTTCTCCTTCACGCAGTAATATGTCCCTGCATCTTCCAGAGTAACATTGTGGATGAAGATAGTGAAATCTGTGTTGGAACTTGGGGACCTCCTCTCTATTCTTTGATCATTTTCAGGAGTCCACTTGTCTGCGTAGATGAGTATCCGGCGTGGACCTTCCCCCAAGTACCATTTCACAGGACCGGGGTGCAATTGCTCAGACACCAGGCACTCCAGGTGGAGGTCTTCTCCTATTAGTACCCGAACAGACTCCGGGGACTGCCACACCTTTGGGTCCTGGGCCTTCATGCCTGAGAAAGAGGAACCCAGGCTGCAGTTACAGCTCTCTCACACTTCCAGCCCTTCCTCAAACGAGGTGTCCTGTGTTGAACGCCTTGCCCAGAACTGTGATCACAACCAACCCGATCAAGGAAACCTCAAAGCACTGTTCCAGGGCAGTGACTGAGGCATTGCCAGGCACCAACCTGAAGAGCCCAAAATCAGTAGGGCAGTTTAGGGGGCAAATGTCCCAGACTGGGTTGAAACAAGCCTGGTGGAGCAGAAGAGGGCTGATTCTGATCGTTGCAGTGTCCTGGTCTCCTTCTTTAAATTACCCTATAACTGGGGGTCTCTTGGTGCATACATAGACAAGCACAGATGTTCCTTTCAAAATAAATGCACCCACAAAGCAGGTGCTGATTCCAGAGTAATCAACAAGCACTTCAGAATTAATGGCTGTGATTAGATTTAAATTCCTGCCATCTAGTGGCTTAATTTTAGAGTGGCAAGGTTGGCGTGAAGCAGTGTTGCTTCCTGAAGCAATCTTGACTGATTGGCAGAGTAATCTGCTTCCCAGTGGGACCACAACTTGAAAAAACAAGATGCTCCATCTCACGATCTGAGGTGAAGTGAGGTGGGCTCCTTCACTTCTCCATCCTCTAGAAACACCCATCAAAAGGGACTGTGGGAGACCATAGCCAGGAGATCAGGAATGGGAAGGGCCATAGCTTACTTCCGCAGCTTGTATTTTTGCCCTAAACCACCACTAACCAAAAGAAAATATCTACAACCCATTGAGCAGTCCTTTCTCTGCTCCCAAGACAACTTTCATTTTTAAAAGATGGAAAGTGAGACAGTTACATTGATTATGAGCATGAGTGATTCTATGAATTATGATTATGAGTGATTCTTATGAATCCCCCCCCCAACAAAAAAGAAAGAGAAGACATTCAGAAACAAGAGGAAGAATGAGCATGGGAGAACCGAGTTTTTTTTGAAGCAGATCAACTCCTTCACCCAACTTGCCTCCAGATAGCCGAAGCAGTAGCCATCCATGTTATTATTGTTTTTAAAGAGAGAAAATGGAAAACTAAAGAGGAGTGAATCCAAGAGAGTATCCTAGGAGAGGGCATGACTAATTAGCTGAGGGTTTGAGCATTTTGTGATGAGTCCAACTTGTTTAATTTAATGTGTCAGTATCTTCTGCCTAAAGCCTTTTGTCGGATCACTCACCTCCGTTTCTTGCTGAAAGCAGGCTGGAAAGCAGACTGAAAAACACACCAAAAAGAAAGACACCAGAAGCCATCTGAGAAGCTGGTTTAGTTAAAACAGCGACAACTCTTGTGTCTACTTGATCATGGCATAAATCGGCACGTCGCCCACAGAATCAGATGGTTCTGCGTAGTGCGTGGCTGCAAATTTGCCAACTCCTCATATGGGAAGTGACAACAGGAAACTGATTTGACATTAAGTCAGATGTGTTCTGTGTTGCCTTACAGTTTAGAGAAGAAAACTGTAGGGAAAAAAATTCCTCCATAAATGGCCCGCGCTGACTAACATAGATCAAGGTTTTTCAAGGAGTTTCCGGAGAGACGAAGAGAGGGGGAAAAAAATCACTGGATTTTTTTTTATCACTCCAGCGTTGCTTCCTGATCAAAAGTTCTGGGAATGTTCTTTTTCAAGTAACAGCTTCCAGGGTCTAAAAAAGTTGGGAAAACTCTGAGCCAGGTTTCACTGAGCAAAATACATTTTGCCTGGGTCTTTTCTGGAGCAGAGGGGAGACAAATGCTCTCATGAACAATTTTCAGAAAGTGTTTGGACTTGGAGAATCCTTGGGGAGTTGCTACCTTGAAGACCAGCGGTGACTGGGAAGAGAAGCAGAAATAATGATAACAAATTTCACGCCAGGAACAATAGAAAGGGCTTGGTTTTTAGAGGGCATGTAGTCTAACCCCTGCTCAGTGCAGGATCCACTAGAGCAGTGTTTCTCTACCTTTGTGAAAACTTAAAAAAGGGTGGGGTGATCGATCCCACAAACCCACGCTCCACCTGCGG